GGATCCCCGTTCCTATCCAATTCAGCGTTCGTCAGTTATATATATATATACCTGATTAATTTTCTTCTATTTTTCCCATTTCTTAGATTGCATAGAAAGCAAGTGTCCTAGATAGAAGGAACCAATCAGTGACTGCTAAACCATGGGCTTTAGAGTTCTCCAAACTTGCATTAATACAAGTAAATATATACCACAGAGCCAGTAGTCAACCTGAATCAAGTGACTGCCATCATGTCTAGTCTCAAGAGTGAGCTGCATGTATTTTTCTGATTCTGGGGTTTGGACAAGTGCTGTGGTCAATTTTTGAGCTGGTATCCAATCCAGTACTAGAAATTTCAGGAGATAAACACATTTCACATTGAGAGGTTAATGTTACTATGTCTGGGAAAGCAGCAGAGGAAAATGGAGGTGTTACTCCTTGATGGCTCCAGAAATAATGAAATAAGCTAGTTAAACTCCAAAAATGGGACATAATGTGCTACAGAAATAGTCCTTGAGCTTCTTCTCCTAAAAGCAGATTGAGACTTTCTTTAGTGGAAACACTGGAAACAGAGCAAAAACTGAATTGAAAAGTAATCCTGCCTCCTTCCAGGAGAGCAGATCATCCATGGGAGTGAGTGGGTTTGGCTGGGAAGAGCTCATCTCTGCCAGATGCAGCCTTCTGCTGGGGCACATATGAGCACAGAGGAGGGGAAGTGTCTGTATGAGGCAGCTGAAAATACTAAAGCATAGGGTGACCTTTTAGATTTAGTTTCAATAGATTTGCAGCAATTTCCTTGCATTTCCCCAGAACTGACTTTAATGAATAATTGTGCCATTGTTCTCCCTTTCCAATGCTGCAGATGAATCCTTTCATTCAGAGTTCACTCGAACATGGTTTGTGTGGAAAGTGATTGTGAGATAGGAGCCAAGTGTCCAGGCATCTCATGCAAAAAGACCCAGTGATCAGGAGGGCAGGGAGGGGAAAAGAAGAAATACGGCATGTGCAGGTGGAGGGGAATGGGGGTCACAGCAAAGACTGTGATTCTTATCCTGTTTGATGGGATTTGGAAGCTCACAGGGCCTCAAGACAGACAAGATAGTAAAGGAGGGAGCTTTTCCACAGCTGGGAAAGGCTCAGAATGCCATTCAGGAGTAAAGGAGAGGGTGACAAAGTGGGCTTCTGAGGAAGGCTTTAAAAAATAAAATCAAATCGCTTTTTAGGGTGAAATAGTAGCTTTCAGGTGTTAAAACCAGGAAGATTATAGCCTAAGTGGTGAATCATAGAACAGCAGGCTGAAAGGGGATATCAAGGATCATCTGATCCAAACTTTCTTGACAAAAGCATGGTAAAAGTCAAATGACCACACTAGCTTCCCTTCAGGAAAAAGTAATGATTAAACAAAGAAGTCCTGCCTACAATGACAGTATAAAAGATTGATAACATGCCTAATATCTGGGCTCAAGGCTGAGCAGAATGAACTAATTCCAACTTTCTCACTTTCCCTGACAGAGACACATATCTACATATGTCTGCTTGATTTTAGCCACCTCTATCTTCACCTCAATAAAACCAGATGAGCAGCACTTGCTGATGAGCTACCAGCAGTACCAAATTTAGGTATAACAGCATCAACCAAACAGTGCAATAAATGACCCCCTGGTGTTTGCCTGCCTTTGACGGCACTACAGTGTAAATTAAAGAAACACCTTTCGCTTTGCAACAAGAGGAGGGCAGTAAATTGACCAAGATAAGCCCCTCACAGGGTGTTAACTCAGCTGGAGTCCAAGAGTCTGAAGACATATGTTATTCTTCAGCTCTCTGCTTTGATTCCAAAGTAGATGAAAGACAGATTCAGGTTGAGTCTCCTTCTATCTCCTTAGACCAAGGCTTGGCTTGAAGTAAAAACAAAACCACACACATACACACAAAAATGCTCCAGTGCTCCCCTGAAACTGCCTTAATAATCTATTATTGTACTATCATTTGACAATGACCGAACAAAAGAAACTAAATAGCAAAAATGAATGAACTAAAAGGCTCAGAAAATATTTCTCTCAAAAAAAAATGCCTGCATTTTGGACTAATCCCTTTTGCATGCCAACTGTTTCATAACTATTCGACTCTCTTACATTCAAACTCCTCTTCATTTATTCCTTTTCAAGGCAGTGAAACAGCCCTGGGCCTTTGGCTTTTAATTTCATATCAGCTTGAAGCAATACTCAGAGTTTCCTTTGACTGAAGCTGGGCTGCACTTTGCCACAGTCCAACAGCTCCTCAGTGGCAGAACTGTGACCGTGCCCTTTAAAACTTCACAGTTTAAGGATCTTGCACACAGAGCACTCTTCTCCAGAAATCAGTTTGCACGCTGTCCTTCTAAAATCCTTCTTTTCTCCTACCTCTTGCGACTTGCATTAGTCTATATTTTTTTTCTTTTTTTCTTCTATTTTTGGCTCAAGGCTGACATGGGAAAGAACGAGCAATTTAGTCACCCAGCAGAGTGTTTACCATTACACAAGCAATGATAACAGTGTGTCACTGCGCTACTTCCTTCCTTACACAGGATTCATGGAAGAAGGTAAGCCTGCTGGAAAGAGATCACAAAGGAGACTCCAGCCTTTGCCAATAAGGGGCTCGGTTCATGCTCTGGCTTTATAGGTGTGGCCACGGCCACTGCTGTAAATATCTGCCTTCCTGGCAGAAGAAAGCAAGAAGAAGTCATAGAATCACAGGATATCCTGAGTTGGAAGAGACAAGAATCATCAAGTCCAACTCCTGGCCCTGCACTGGGTAACTCCCAAAATTATGCCGTGAAATGGGTAGTGCCATCACCCCATGCTAGAGCTTTACTTGGTGATGGAACTGGGGCAAGGCTGTGGGATTTCACTTATTTGCAGGCCTGAGGCTGAGCAACAACAGGCTTCATGCCAGCATGGATAGAGAAGACTGGGATGGGGTCAAATCAGGGTTTTTGTTTTTTAAACAAGAGGTAGAGTGTTTGTGATCACCTGGTGTATGTTACCACTGGCCCAGACAGGAGGGGGGAAGCCAGCAGAGGCTCTGTAGAGGCAGCTCAGTCTGCAGCTGGGGGGCCCCACGATGTCAGAGGAAGTGGCAACCATTCACCCTTCATCTGGAACTTGAGGGATTTGTGCAGAGTCTGGTTTCCAAAGAAACCTATCTTACCAGGGCTTTTAGGTGTTCCTCAGGGAGGAGATGTCTCGTCATGGAGGCATCACTCCTCCTTTCTGCTCCTGCCTTCCCTACTGTTCCCCACGCAAAGGGCTCCAAGGACCCATGCACAAGTCAGGAAAGTCCCACTGAAGGCATCTGAGGCACTGAACTTGTGTCTTAGGAGACTGGAGTTGGGTAGCAGAAAGGTCATAAGTGCTCACAACAGGCTATTGCTCAGGTAGTAAAAACATTAAACACACATATATATTTTAAAGGCCATTTTATAACACTTGCAATTCTTCCCTTTGGAAATCTTTGACAACTCCCATTGCTTAGCTCTCAGAAAGCAACTCCACCTCAAAAATCCCTTCTTGAAAGAATGGTTACAGTAAAGAGCGAACTCCCTATTTCTTCTTACACTTCCCACACAAAAATGTCAGAAAGATACTGCCAAAACATTTTCTACGATGACTGGCAACTTGCTTGCATGCCAAGAGAAAGGAACTTGTAAGAACATGCAAAGTGTAATCTTGCAACTCCCTGCCTTGAAAAAGTTTTTAAAAAATGGTAACTACTTTTAATTGAGTTTGAAGATGAAAGTACTATGTTGGTTCTATTTTTATTTTAATTTTAAGCAACTCATCCATGTCTTAGTCTTCCATCTAGAACAGGAAAAAGAGTCAGAATAAAGCATGCACAGGTAAAATTTAATTAGCTAACACTTGCTCATTATTCTAGACTGTCATTTATCTTCCCCATGCCCTGTTGGGTAGTGTTTCTTCTGCAGTTCAAGTGTTACGTACAGTTCCATCATCATTTTGTCAAAAACCAATATCTGAGGTGAAGAAAGAATCCTGCACAGCACTAATTGCTCACTGACAGACTATGTGGGCCTACCAGCCTTTTTTTAAAGCAGTTATAAAATACACCATAGATCAGTACCTCTATCGTGTTAGAGCCATTTTAACTATTTTCCCCAGTTGATAAGCAGGTTTCTCACAGCCAGAAGAAAGAGCAGCTGACATCTAAACCTTCAGATTTTTCTTTTTTTTAAAAAAAAAAGCAAACTGTTTTATATTTGAGAACACAACCATATTGCCTTAAATTTTGTGCAGAGATAGGAAAGGTGTTTGCTTTAGAAGTGATGACAAAATCAATGAGTCTTACGTCAGTGTTCTTCATCCAAATCTAGTTTGATACTGATGAAAAGGTGTCACTTGATGATCTCTATACTTGAAATGAATTTATGGTAATACACTTGATGGGCAGGTGCTTAAAATAAAAAAGCTCTTAGACCTGTGGCAGCTTCAGCTGTACTTTTCCCGTAGATAAATAGAATATCAGTGATATCAGTTCAGATGAATAAATCAGCCCATACTGTTTTGAAGGGATCAATTCATCAATGGAAAACGAAACCCCCATCAAACTCAAAGGACTTCTTCACTCCACCCTGGATCTTTGCCATCACATTAGAAATCCCCGATACCTGATTCCTCCAACAAACCACATGTTCATCGCAGAGAAACCACAATCCTTCTTCACAAGACCTCACAGAAAGATGGTCTCAAGCAAAAGCACAGGAACATACGGAAAACTAACCTCAAATTATTCACTTTCCAGATTAATTCACGGTTTTCTGCTTGTTCTGAAAAGCCACTTCACCACTGAACTCCCATCCAGCCCTGATGATCTTTGCAGACACAAGTCCACAGCAGGCTGGAGGAGGCATTTCCCTGAACCATGACTTATCAGGGATATGACTTCAGCAAAACGTGTTTAGACACATCTGTATAATAAAGCTACAGGTGAAGAAAGTGAACCAATACTGTTCTTGATGCAGGCTTACCCTTGGCCTTGAAGAAGTTATGAAGATGCTTTGACACAGCTGAACATCGGTAGAGTATGAGATAAAAGCAGGAAAGAGGCAACAGAGATCAATCATCACTTGGCTTTGGTTTGTAGTTCCTGAAGCCTTGCCTAATTCTCCTGCAATGGACATAATGAATATATTAAAAGAGAATTAACCCTCTGAGTAACATTCCTCATGCTGCCCTATGCAAACACCCCCTCTAGGGTTACAGAAAACAGTAGAACTGAGAGCAGCTTGAAACTGAGCTTAATGAAGCTACTCATGCAGTATTTAATAACTGAAAAAATCCAAATGACAAAAAAAAAAAGGCTCACTGTAAACCACTGGATCAAAAATGGTCCTCACAACCCTGTTATCTTTTCTAGTCAGGGATGTTATTTTTTAAAGTTGATTAATAATCAATATTGAAGGAGAGCTTCAGGCTATTACCTAATGCTCACTATCTCTCAAATGCCAGGGAAGAAAAGATACAGAGCATCCTTCTACACACAGACATCAGGACATCAAACATTATGTAGCTCCTCTTTCTGGATCCTTACATTGAAGTCTTTTGCAGAATAAGCAAACCTGATGGATCCCAGGAAACCCACAGGAAATATCAGGTGTTCAAGGAGATGAACAACAGGAGAATGATTTGCTCAGACACTCTGCACTTGTTTTGTCTTCCCTACATGACTTATTTTTTAAATGGTTTATTTGCAGGTTTGACTTACATGCCTAACTGCAGCCAGAGAATTTCAGCTCACAAGTTTACATGTGTTTAGTATTTTTATGCTTCTTCACATAAGGCATCCTGTGGAGATAGAGAAAAAAGGGGAAAAAAATTATTCCAAGTGGGTTGTCTCTCTGAAGAGCTGCTTTAAGATCGTTATTTTTACTGTTGCAGATCCATGCCCTCTTAACCACCATAGTATCAGACTACCATGACTAGAAACTTCTCTGGAATTTTTTTTTCTAGCTTGCCAGTGAACTGAGGCCACATTGCAGAGCGAAGGAGGCTGTTTCTGCCTGCCCATTCACGACCCTAGGTAAACATCATGAGGAAATCAGTCCCATCTGATTCAGTCCCCACTGTTAAATGTGTTTGCACAGGTGTCACCAATTAGGGCAGAATTTGGCCTGTAGAACATGTCCAGCCCTACATGTCAGAGAAAACTGACAGGTTGGTTTGGGATCTCACAGGGATGTTAGTAGGGCTGCTGTAGATAGCCTCAGGGTCAGGGAAATGTGCTGTTTATTTATTTTCTTTGTGAGCTGAACATCCCTGCTGTGTGTAGTGGGTCTAGCTGGGATGGAGTTAGATTTTCTTCACAGCAGCCAGTACAGTGCTGAGGTTTGGATTTGTGACAATAGCTCTATTTAAGGTTGCATTTCACCCTCTGCCCCTACCCCACCCCCTTTCCCAGAAGTTGTGCATCATGGAGCTGCATCTCATGTCCATTCTACCCGAGTGAGGGCTTCTCTTCTTCTCAGGATTTCAGAGGAAATGGATGAACACATCAACTCATTTGTGGCAAACCTTTTGTAAACAGTGAGGAGGAGTGTGTGGCCATATGGAATGTTGTGCTGTGCTAACAGACTGGTGCGAATCCTGTTCTCGGAAGCCAATTTCTCTGTCAAGGAAAAGCAAAACAAAGGAACTCAGTAAACATGGACCTAGGATTCTCCAGATGACAAAAGCTCAAAATAAGTGGCACTACTTCACACATGCTGTGTGCAAGCACAGGGACAGTTACCTCAGCATACCTGGAATGGAGTAACTTGGAGCGTGATAACCCTCTACGCTGCAGTTTGCTGTCCATAACTGGCTCCAGTTGCGAAGAGGGATTTAGCTATGGAGAGAGCATTCCTTGGGATTTTGATCAGAGAATGTAACTCTCACCTTTGAGCTGCCCTGCTCATTTCAAGGATCACTACCTCACGTGCCATCAGTGATGATTTTAGATAGTACTTTAAGTCTTTCTTCCCTTTTCTAGTTCTTATCAAAGGACTAAAAGATGACCATGAAGACCTACAGGGGCCCTTGTTTTACAAGTAGGAGGACAAAGGATGCACAAATCAAGGAGAATAAAATCTTAAAGACAGGATGAGACTGTAAGATAAAATGCTCACATGAAAGGAGATGCCACTAGGAGATGCTCCTTCATTTCACTGAAGAAGCTGGGGCTTTAAAAATTTGGAGAGTTGCATGTTGCTAATCTTGCAAAACTAGTTAACACAATTTAACATAATAATAAACAACATACTGAAAGAAGGGGATTTTAGGTAAAGACAGTCTAACCAGCAAATATCCAATCTGTTTGGATATCTCATGATAAACCATCTAACATCACCAAACTCTGCAATTTACCAGACCCATGGATTGTGACCAGAAACAGCTGTACAAAAGCTTTTTAAAACAGATATTTGTGCAAATCACTTATCATATTAGTTATTTCTGGTAAATGCTAAATTATCTTCATATTTATTATTTTTTTAATGATTGCAGTAGAATTAGAAAGGTAGGGTATCCTCAGTTGCATGAATCCAAATTTCCAGCATTCTGCTGCTGGCTGTGCAATTCCTAACTTCTCCCTCTGATGAAACACTTCCCTTTAGTCAGCAGACAAAGAGTAAATCTTAAAGTTTCCATATAAAACTATGATCTATTTTAGTTTTAAAATTAGGAGAATAATATCTTATATTTATATACCTTATTTTTTTTCCACTGGGTGCCTACTATCTAAGACTCAGAGTTCAAAGGAAAAACTCTGAACAGATATGACTACGAGTTCAACCTACTATTCTCTCACTTTTGCATCAGCTTCCTAAAAGATTGTTCATTCTCACAGCACACAACTGCAGCATCTTAAGGTTGTAAACTTGATTGTTTCATAAAGTACTTATATTTTCATGCCCCTAAGGCACAAGTGGACATCCTTACTCACAATTCTACACTTATTGGCAGGAGTCACTCTCAAAGTACTTTTCAAGACACTCCTGCCATATTTTAGCATGAATATCAGGATCTGAATTTATCAGCTTTCAAAATTGAATCTTATCTTCATTCTGTGTGGCTTGTTTCCTGTAGCTGCTCCCTTTTTAAAATCAGTCCAATAAATCTTTATCCAGGGCAGGAAAATGACAGAAAAATGCAATTTAAGGAACAAAACTGCCTTGACCTGCAAAGAAGAGGGAATTCAATGGATCTTAATGGCACTTCTCGATGTCTGATTCCGAGCGCTGCAGAGTTATAATGCAAACATTGAACTGTCCTGAATTAAATGAAGTCAAGATAATTCAAGGACAAAAACTTGTTTGCAGCCAATATAGATATTTGAAATCTTCTCAGTAGTTCTTTAAAATTCCCATTACAAGCTGAAATGGGTATTATTTCTTGTGGTGCTACTGCAAACCCTGAATTTCTTCATTGTTTCATTATGTGTGTTCTGAATACAGAGATGGGATCTCTCACACATAAAATACAGAACAAAGTAGCATGCAAGATTCCCATAAATAATTATTTGGTTAGTTTTTCAGCAAAAATAGCACTCCTGCCTAAAATATTTAAATATGGATATCACTCCAAAGCATGACCAGTATGCGTAGTGCTTTAGTGAGTTCTGGAGCATGACAAAAAGACTGTCTCTACTTCAGATTCAATTCCAGAGTTAGAATTTCAGATTTAATTTTTTTGAAGAGGATAGGTAAGCAAGAACATACAGTATGTGAACTCCTTCTTTTTCTTTCATTCCTTGTCATAGCTACAAATATCCCACTAAGAAGCAAAGTATCGAAGGTGCACTTTGAAATAAATTGTTGGGCTCCATATTATGGATCTAAAAAAAAATAAGAGAAAGAAAACCCAACCCTAAAAAGTATCTGGTAAGTAACTGAAACTATAGTTTTAGATTGCAAAATAACCTTGTCTACCATTCTATAAACAGTAGGATTGCTTTAAAATACAAAAGGTGACTAACATTCTGTCCACTATGCATGCATTGAATTGTTATTATTGATGTGCTCAGGGAAGGATTTTGTGTGTTTCCTTTGGCTGTATTGCTTAAGGGAGGGTTATGGTTCAGTTGAGAAAAGTAGCTGTGACTTGGCAGCCCAGTGGAAGAGAGCAGGGAACTCTCTGCCCTGCAGAAAATTAGCTTTTGCATATCAGCTTAAACTAAGCTCTTAAAGGAGAGCATTTTGTAGCCATCACTGAAAATTGTATGACATTATTAATACAAATGTTCTGCAAAGATAGTGGCCAGACCTGCTTATCTGCTATAGTAATTAAAAAGCTCTAATAAAATAATATTGAGATAAATTTCAATGCTTTGTATGATGGAGCTTTTCACAGAGAAGTGTTTTGTTTTTTGTTTTTTACAGCTTCAACTTGCTATTCATTTTTGAAAGCTAATGCAACGCTAAATTTTAATAATATGGCTAGTGTACATTTCTGTGCCGCATTAATTATACATTTATAACTCCACAGAAGACACCCACAAAGAGGGAAAATACAGGAAATATCATCTGTAACTGGAGACAAATTAAAACAGCATCTATCACAACAGCAACATTTTGATTAGATATTCTTATCCAGCATTTGTATGCATTAAATTATCATCATGCTTCCTTAGCTCTCTTCCTTCCCTAGAGAGGTCCATGGATCTAGCTGACACTCTTGTAGGACTTACCACTTCTACAGAATACTAAACAAAGATCTAAATAATTTCTGTCCCCTGGCAGCCTAACTAGGACAGTATGAAGCTCTACACTCTCAAGCCATAAGGTCTAAAGTCAGTGAAGAACCAGAATGAAGTCTGCTACATTCACATCAGCAGTTACTTACCCTTTTTTTCCCCACATAACTTTCTCACTCTGTGTCAGATTCAGCGCGAAATCCTGCCAGAACCAAATTTATGCAGAGATCTCCATAATCAGACAGGAAGATTTCCGCCGGTAACACACAACTGTTTGGGTACACAACCTCTTTTCCTGGGAGACTCCTGTTGCTAGAAAGCCTGGAAGCTTTAATTTTGCTTGGCTGGTTCATAAGCAGAGCTGTGGCATTAGGATACACAGGAGGGGGAAGAAAATATAATCTCGATGCCAGCAAGAACAAACTGCTGATACAACTGATTTTAAATGTTCTTCCTAGGTGGGAGACTGTAGCAGAAAACAGCTGAGATTTTCACCTTGGAAAATGCTATTGAATTGGAAAGAATATTAGAAAAAATTACAACACCAGAAAAATAATGCAGGTTGTACTTTGCTGATATGGAAACACGCAATAGCAGCAACTAAATTAATGTGTGTCCCTACTGAAATAGTTGATTTTTTTTCCTTGCTTGCAAAATATTACCTAGCCAAAGATGCCACATTTATGGAGAGAAAGAAAGGACATTTTAAAGAAAATTATACTTGACCAGGGACTATTGACAAGATGGTCTATTGCCCTAATTCCTGGTGTGAATCCATACACACATGTGCAGTTTGGCATCCTCAGGTTTCCAGCCTATTTATAGTGACAAATTGAAAATACAAGAAGCATCCTCTGTGAAACAAAAAGTGTAAAGATCAATCTGCATATGCAGATCGTAGATTATGGTTTGGGTTTTTTACTCATATAGACCTCAAATGAACCTTCTGGATCATTAAATCCATTTCCCAGTCATGCATGCGAAAGCACTAACAATCTAATGGGCTCAGGGTATAGATCAGAAACCCATTCACAAAAGCAAACAGAAAGCTCTATGTTCCAACATCAAACCCTTCACAGGAAAGTGGGCAAGAACTCACAATGCAGATAAAATACTAACTGCTCTTTTAACTCTGAGTAACAGATATAACTCTCTTAACTGAGTTCACTTTAGTTTTTGGGCTGCATTTTTTCGTGTGTGTGATGCAGGTAGGCCTGGGTTGCATTATAAGATAAATACATTCCTGAGTTTCTACTGTCATTCACCTCTCATAATTCTAATTACTGCCAGAAGTACACCTTTGCAAAATCTAACTGATGTAAAGATTCAATCATAACTTACCATACCAAACTTACATTCCTTGTCCTGATAGTCCATCTCTATGTAATCTCACTGCAATTCCTCCCAAGGTAAATTAGTACTATATATACATAAACCCACAATCTACAGCTGAAGAAACTGCTGATTTTGTACGGGTTTTGTATTTCAGAGTTGTCTTGTACTCTTTATGTATTTACCCAGAGGTGTATTTTACCTGCTGACTGTGTTTTTCCCTCCATCCTCAGTGTAAGAAGACTAATAACATTGGATACAGTGCATGCACTGTCTTCTACTTTGTCATTATTCTGCTGGTAGGTAACAGTGAACAATAGCTAACATATCCTCAAAAGCTCCCTTTCATTAAGTGCTGATCAAGTGCTGACTTAATTTTTTTCACACAGACGAGTGTATTAGCGGTAAATAAGAAACAGAAGTAACTCAAATTGAATATGGATAAGCTGGAACTATTCCCTGATACGATCAAACACAGTATATTTAAAAGGCAATGATGCAGGCCTTATCAGCTTTGATTTTGAGACTGAGGAGCAATTTTCATCTGCGTATCTCAGGCAGTTCATTAGCCATACCATAAGTTTATGTACACAAGTCACCGTGCTCAGACTTGAAAGGGCATGTGTAACCAACCTCCTGAAATACATACACGAATGTGTAGGTAATGAAACACGTGCACATCTGTTGCTGTGGTGACTGCATGGTTGCTCTCCTCCTTGAAAGCCATCGTGGCTCATTTCACAGTTGTTGCCTGGCTTCAGCACTCTGGCCTGTGCTTGGTTTTACATATGGACTCCTACTCAAGCACTTGGGGAGCTTTGGAGGGTGAGATTTGAAAGACTCATCAGACAGTGACTTGAAGGGTAAGCAGTACCACTAGGCACCAGTAAAAAAGGTTTACTTCTAGGCTGATAAAGGACTGACATACTGCTTACAGGGACTAAAAACACAAAACGAGGGGGAAAATAAAAGTGAGTATAGCAGAAAATAATAAAAAAAGCATGTTATTTTCAGAATATTAAACTTCACAAAACAAAATATATGAGTCTAGACTACTCTGCAACTGTAACCCAGTATAAATGTATTTAAAAAGTAAGGGACAATGACACAGAACAAAATTGCTCTCTTCTGGTTTCCCATTGTACAAAATGGTCCCAGCGGTCCAATTACATTTGAAAGACTCGCAGCTTTCCTTTTCTCCAGAACATCTGGGACAGGCACCTTGGTTTCAGAAACATGTCATTTTTGCCAATTTTAGTTGAAATGTATTTTGCTTCCAATCCCCATTAGTAAGAGGAATGAGGTAGACTCTCAGAGAACAGGTTTGTGATGGCAAATTAAAAGAAAGGAACTTTGCAGGGGCAGGAACGAGGAAGATAATTCATGAGGAATCCTCCAGGAATAGCTCCACACAAGATGCCTTCATGAGATTAATGAATTTGTTGTACATGCCCATAATTATTCCCATTCACATGGAACAGGTCCAGCTGCTTTCAGTACCCACAAATGAGAAGCAGAAGGAAGCAGAAGAGAAATCAACCATATTTTGCTATGTCCAACAGTTAGAATCACTGGATAGCAAATAAATTATGCTAAGCACAATTAAACACAGAATTAACAGTAATCATTTGTAACATAACACAACAAGACAGCCAAGATAAATGAGAAAGGGCTTTCATTGCGTTGTATTGAGAAACTGAATGATACGTTGCCAAGATACATGTTTACAAAAATATGAACCTGAGGTCAAATAACTGGTTGGCTTCTAGCAGTAGGTGTATTCATCTATGCCTTGTTTGAGGCTGTTTCTAATCCCTTCCCCTAGTTCTGTGTGTGCTAGAGAAACTCCTACTCTTGTAATAACTACTATTTTAACATTACTAGGAGCAGGAATGCTAGTTGAAATCCAGGCTCAGGCTGATGTTTGGTTATTAGTGAGTGGGTTAGACTTGTCCTGCACCAGTGAGAGATGGCAGAGTGAGAAAGAGAAGCTGCCACTCCACTTCATATCACTGTGATCTTTGGAGTGCTGCTGCTGACAGCAAAACAGAGCAAATTCAACCAGGGTGTGCCTGAGGAGTACCTTGTGGGGAGATGCAAGCTTGATCCACGTGTTCTCCAGAGTAGTCCAAAAGCTGAATGTCCTGATTAGAGCAGACCATGGACTAGGCTTAAATATGCTTGGCTCCTCAAGAGGTCTTAAAAGTTTGGGCCTGTGACGACAATAATAAGGCACTCAGTTTTGGTCAACTTGAAGTGCAAGCACAGCAAACATACATCAGCCTGAGGAGTACCATCTGGATTTTTTCACATAGTTACAGCTATGTTAGCTTTCCAGGGTTGAGGTGCATGTACTTCTTTAAAAAAAAAAAAAAAATCTTCATCTGTTGCTATAACAACTCTCTTGCTTTTCTACTCGGCAACAGCCTTGGCCCAGATTTTAGTCTTGTTATTTCTTTTACTGCATTCTGTGCTGTCTTCCAAGATATTTCAACTGGCCATAATGGAACAGCAAACTATCACCTTTCATTGTACAATTACAAGTTTCAGCCATGGAAGGGGACAGAGCATGTCCCAGCACACTTGGTAGAACTGAACCCAGGTTTACACTGTATGGTGGGGATAATTGCCCCAAACTGCTACAGAGCTGGGTTACTGCTGTAGCATGCATCCAATTCTAGGAGTTCAGGAGAGCTCCTGGGAGCTACAAATAGGCAGACGTTGAGCCTGTGCACCCAACACGCCAGAAAGATGATACGGATAACCTCTGACATCAACGTGTTTAAAAGCTAGTTGGTGTGATACTTCTGCTTTGCCTTCTTAAGTTGCAGTCATTTGTACTCAGTGCAAGAAAAATCCCATCAGCTTTCAGGACAAAGCTCTTGAACATTATCCTCCAGGTTAGGAGGAGACTGAGAATCTGAAACCAGTTACACCTGCATCAGGCCCAGCACTGGCAGACTGCAGGATGTTCCTCTGAGGGTGAAACAACGTGCAGAGGGACCACCTTCCAGCTTTACTTCTGCATTGAGTCTCCACCAAGGAGCTCCCACAGCAGACAGAAGCACTCTTCAGGCCTCATCTTCCAGCACCGTTTTACCTCCTGTGTCAGAGACACAGAAGTGTGCTCTCTCTATCGAACACACCCATGCCACAGGCTTCTTCTAACCTCTGAATGATGGGCAAGTTTAAAAATTGATTTCTAACTCCTGACATAAAAAGACAGGCAGAAAAATTCCATAGTAGATGAGTGGATGGAACAGCAGATCTGAAGGAGATGAGACAAGCAGGAGTAACATGAAATTGTTTCTTTAAGGATGCGGATATAACCCTTGCCTAAAGATTCCACTGAAAACCCTGGTTCAAAATAAGGAAGCCTAAATCTATTTGGTTTCTCTCTGTTCTCTTTTCTCCTAAAGAGTAGCTGACAGGTGGAGACTAAGCCAAGAGAACAGAGTCCCTGCATTAACTGCTAATGGAGACAAATGCCAGGTGTAGATGTCAACTGCAATTTTTCATTCCCTGCTGATAGCAGAAGGTTCCACGGAGCAATGCCAAAATATTAGGGTAGAAAATGCAATCATGGCTCCCCCAGTCCTTCTGTGACTTTTTAAAAAGCTTTTGTTTTCAAAAAGCAATTTCTCTCTGGTACTTCCATTACTCCATGTAGCTTTGTCACAGTTGATCTTCATTAAAACTGAAGACACTATAAAAGACACAATTTTAGAGTAAAGGTAATTGTTCTGTAGTCTGATTCATTGCTAGTGCCAGCATGCAAAATAATGTTGTGCACTCACACATGCTGTGTAGTGTTAGACATCAACACAAACAGCAGTGTATTTCCCACTTTGTTTTGATTTAGGAATTACAGTGAAATCATCTGCTGCAGGCATTTTTCTACAAATGCAGAGTCACAGAGTAGAGTCACAGCCAGAACCAAGACTTCAATTCATAGACAGGAGAACCTGGAAATCTTTCAGTGTTTAGCATGAAGACGAGAGCAGTATTTAATTTTGTTGACTTTTTCAAGAGCACGCTTTGCTGGAATAATTCTTTTATTTATGCTTTTGTGAGTCAATATGATTACACTTTCGTGGAGTGAAGGGAACCACAAAGTCATAGGCATTTCTGCCTCAACTGTCAAGCAGGGCATTGCACTTACAGCCTCTGTGTAAGTGTATAACAAATCTGCACAGTTTGCTGCAGTGTTCCAATTCTGCATGTTGACCAATCTCCCAGTGAAGGCAAGATAGAGAAATTTAAGATCACTGAAGTTCTCTCAACAGTTGTCTTTTGGCATTATAATTCCCTCTGTATGAAAACCTCATTTATGGTTTTCCCCAGCTGTAAGATTGCTTGCCTGAAAACCACAATGTCTTTCTAAAGTGACTGATTTATACAGTATCTGTT